TATATATTATATGTATCTATGTTTTCATTTTAGGAATGAAATTTATTTAAGATTAGACTGAATATCCAATGAGATTGCAAGACACGACAACATCTTAAAAATATACAATAAAATTCTTTAAGTAATGTGATCTTGAATGAACTTATACTTTTTTACTTTTTTTAAAAACTCTTCCCGGCCTCTTTTACCTTGAGGTGTCGAGGGGAGAAGCAAAAAGAAAAAACAAAAAGGTCTTTCTCTTGTTAGTTGTCTCGCCTGTTCTTAGGTTATGTTCTTCTTTACTCATGTTTCTCTGACCCCCCCCCTCCTCTCTCTCTCTCTCTCTCTCTCTCTCTCTCTCTCTCTCTCTCTCTCTCTCTCTCTCTCTCTCTCCATCTGCTTTTCCCCGGTCTGCCTTCTCCTCTGTCTCTGTCTGAACTCTGGTGGTATGCTCTCTCTTCTATGCTGTCCTGGTGCTAGTTTTGTTAGTGCCCAAACCATTTTGTGGGAGATTGGCGGGTGCTCGGGTGTGGTTTGCTTCTTCTTTCCTATCAAACATCTATCATCTTTATCTCCCCTCCTTCATTTTTGTGTTTGTTACACTCTTGTAACACCTCTAATCTTCGGCACTTATAGACCTTTTTTGTGTTTCAAGTGCCGTAAAACACTTACTAAAACTAAAAACAAACAAACAAACCATTGTTCGTCTGGGCCCATGTATTGGTAACAGAGAGGTGTAAGGAGGCTACATCATTAATTCGTTGTCTGTCTACATATTGTAAGCAGGGAGTTGAGCCAACTTGTTCTTTCTTTTTTTAAATTTTAAATTGTTTTACGGCGATCGCAACTGCATAAGGTGCTATAAGCATTTAACATTTTCAGTTGGTAGGAAATTTTGGAATTTTGCCCACGTGGCGGTCGAAGCCTACTCTTACCGCTTTTAGACCACCACGGGATCTTTAATGTGCGCAACTTGCACACGGGTGCAACTTGCACATGGGACCTCCGAGATTTTTCACCCTTGTCCGAGAAGGCAGGTGTAGATCTTTCCTAACAGAAAATCAGCAGTTTGGCTTAAAGACAACAGTAAGAAAGAGCCAAGGAGTAGCAGTAGACAGGCTGCAGAAAGAGTCAGGATCCCAGAGGAGAGGGCAAAGGAGGTGACGAGTGGGGGTAGAAAGTGGAGACGAAAGCAGACGACAGAACACTGCTAGACAGCAGGAAAGGAGGTGAAAGGAAACAATTTTGAAGAAAAAATGTTTTCGGTCGCTACCCAGATTCGAACCTGGGACCCTTGAATGAGAGGCGAACACTTTAACCTCTAGGCCACGAGAACCCCCCAACCTGTTTTCTGAGAGTCTTGTGTCTTACCTTGTCTACTTTTTAAAAATAACGATTAAAAACCCAACCAAAAATAGATCCAGATCTGTATATATAAAAGAGAAAAATCTCAAAGAAAAAAATAAATGAATAAATAAATAAAAACATCTAAAAATTGATTGATTAAAATTGAATAAAATAAATAAAATAAAAAGTTCTTCTAGATCTAATCTCACATTAAATCTTACTTTTGTTTGAACACTTTAATCCCTTGCTATCCCATAACTTGGTTCGTTTATAACACCTGGTTCAAAGATATAGTATAGGTTTAGATAAAGGAATAACGTCACCAACATTGCTATTGCTGCTGTTTGCGCAACAATTTGGCCAAATCATAGAATTATACCCCTAGATTACTCATCGCTCAGATGTAGGGCTAAGGTGTTTTGTTTCTAGTGAAGTACGTAGATCTAATCCATATTTTACAAAAACTCTTCATATACAGCACCATCATAACACACGTCTCGTTGTAGGTGAGTGCACGTGGCACGTCTTTCTGTCCTTCCTTGCCCTTTATTTGGCACAAATAGTGCATGTCACAGTGAACCGGAAATACGTCAGAAAGTCCTATCTACGATATACAAATACAAGTCTATGGATTCAACAAGTTTTCATAAACGT